AGAGTGTGTGGTCTGAATGACAGGTGGAGCACTGGAGCGCACTATTGGCAGGCTAGTTGAGGATTAGTCGGCCGAGCACTTCATCCCTGCTGCAACAAGCTGAAATAGGAATAAAGGCTTTAATCCTGAGGTGGAGGGGCCAGTGGCAGACAGCACACACAGAGATGGAAAAACACCCATTGTGTTTTAAACAATAACATCCTGTGTACTCCACTAAAATGGAGTATTGTTTAAAATAGGTTTGTATTATTCACATATCTAAGTCTACACCAGCAAGATGTGTGAATGATAACAAGTGTGGTGTCATTTCACACACTGAAGGATACTCAGGGAAGATGAAGCCTGTATCTGCAAATATAAACGTATGTATAATCTCATTAAATAGAAATAGGAAATGCCTGTGTTTAATTCACTAGAGTAGATAGAGAAGGCCTTGCTCAGCTGTTTTATAATGAAAAATGGAAGATATCACTGGTGTCCCATGTCCAGTAATGCAGATCTGGCTTTTGGTTATATGTATTTTGTGTATGCGGTTAATCCTGTTGTCACAGTGGGGATGTGGGTTTTGAATGAAGCTGGTGGAGATGACCACAGCTTGTTCATTCATGATCTCTACAGTTGGGCTGGATGCATCTATGCACTGTTATTTTTACCTCGAGGTTTGGCTGCCATCTTCTGGTAAAATAAAGTAACAGTTTACACATACCTTGACATGTCTTCTGCGTCCTTCTTCAAGGGGTCACGTGATCTTACGTATCCTGCCAGCTGCCAGATTTGGAGCCTTTCTCCTCCCTGCATTGGCAATAGCGCCATCAGCAGTCCGACTTCGCCGACAGCTCTCCAGGTTCTTGAAAGTTGATAGGCCCCTTGTCTCTGTTTAGAGTCATATGGGATCATTTCTGGATCACAATAGCCATCTTAATCCAATGTTTGTGTCTATAGTCTGTGGAAGTGAAGATGGTCATAGTTTGCCTTGTGGTAGATAAATCTTTAGGGTTTTCTCAACATGTGCCTCTTTAGACTAAAGGTCCAAATATTGTGTTAAATTTTCTTTAAATATAATTTAAATACTTAATAGTTATAAACATAAATACAATTCATGCCACAGTAAGAAACGATATTCCCGCGGATGTGCCTCGTCTTGCCGCACCTGAGCTTCCCTTTTTCAGCCCCTTTTCTAGAGAAATAGGCACCGGCATATAAAGCCCACAGCGCCACCTTGTGGCTAGGAGGGGAAGTACATTTTGGCGCCTACATTGCCCTCCATTCCATTTATTTTTGTGCTTTTCCAGTCCTTGTCTCTTTCTTCTGCAATGATCTGTGTTGGCCGATTTTTACTGTTCTGTTTCTTCTTCTAAAGAAGGATGCAAAAGCCATCTGAAACATGTTAAGATCTGTTTAAACAACACTCTGGTCTGTTAAAAATAACATTTATTTTGAATTAATTCTGGAAGACCAAAATGAACGATTTCAATGAACAATTGTATCTATTTCACATAAAGGTTTTATGTTGATTGGAGAACCTGGTTTTATACAATTTTAGAATCAGAGTGTCATTTCTTTTAATAGATCTAAGATCTCTCATCATTTGTTTTTGAAAGGTGCTTAAAAATACGATTATAGTAATGTAGGTAATAATGACAAACACACGCCAACACCACCACTTTATATAGGTCTGTATTTATTTTCATCAGAACACAATTGTAATCATTGTAGTTGTAATCTTTATACTTCTCGAAAAGATCATGACTCGTGAGACTTTTATAAATCATTTCATCAAAGTCGTTTGTAAAAAAATTAAAGAAGTTACTCGAACTAAAGCATCTATCATATTACAATATACTGGTTGTATAATAGTAATCATAATAATTATAATCGCAATGATACTTCTATATGCCTTTAAACCTTTTTTCATTTAAATAATCTTTCTCTTTTTCTCACACGCACACACACGCAGAGCCACAACCCTCCACAATAAGGCTGTGAATCTGAGTTACAAGTCTATTGGTTAAAACCTCACCACATTCTCTTTTAACATTGAGGAAAATTTGGACGCAAACAACTAAAAGTCAAATAAATAAATAAAGTAAGTGGGAATAGGAGAAGAAAGACACAAAAAGACAGACATTGTTCAGCATACAAGGGAACATATTTACAACCAAAAAGAAGGAACGGGCTTCTGCATAGATCCACAGGAGAGAGAACTGAGAAGTGGTGAGAAGGCTGAGGGGGGCATCCAGGGCATTTGGTGCTGGGGGACTTGGGGGCAGGAGGAGGAGGCGTACATACTCTAACAAATGCAGGACAAATCATCAGTTTATGTGCGCATGGAATGTCACTATACTTCTATTACACTGTATAGATCACTGTCCAAGATCTAGACTCACATACAATGTCTTTCAGCGACCACACCTCATTGTAAAATTTGCTAAAAAAGTGTCAGCAACCAAACAGCAGGGGACATGATAGACACAAGACAGTTTTGAATATGTAGGATTTCATGGCCAGCAGCTTTTTGCGATGGGGCATGGTGCACAGAGGTGAGATGAGGACACATGTCTGTTGCCAGGGACAACAGCGTCATGTGTTTTTGGCGACAGGTTTGCATGACATTAGTGAGGTGGGAATTTGCAGGTTCAATCTGACAAGAAAGGAGGGGAATTTGATTAAGTCTTTCATTACATACAATATAGGGATCTATCTATAGTCTCTGAATAGCTCTTCTTCATGTCACACCAGCTAACCAACACACCAGTTACTGTCAAAACAAGTCAAGATAATACATCAACTCTTATTGATATAAATGAAAAACGAATTCATTTAACTAATACACAATGGATATCCCAATCTAACAGTAGTAACTTTGAGTCGTTTGAATTAAGATAAGGCTTTATTGTTAATTTATGGACATGGTCAGTGGCAAAGGATTTCCCATGCCCTCTTTACATCCTGACTATGGAGAATCCTCATGATTAGTTGTAGATAGTTGGCCCCGAAGGGACTGTCTAACCTCACTCTAACGAGTGTCCCTCCAGAACATATTATCAACATATAAGCAAGGTTCTGCTGTAAATAATTCTTTGTCAGTGATAACAAGGCATTGCCAATCATCATTAGTCTTGCTGGTTTGATAGTGTGTACACATGTGTGTTTAAGAATTGTCGGGGCTGGGAGGAGTACCAGTGTAGACTCTGTGGGTCTAGATAGAAACACATAATGATGCTCTCTTGCACCTGCCCCAACAAGCTTCAAAAGGCAATTAGCGATAGATACAAATTTATACACACTGATTGCAGGTCCACCCATATTCCATCTTTGAGTCTTCTTCGCTTAATCCACTGTCCTTGTGCAGTAGTGCGATACAAAATATAATGTCTCCATCTACTGGTTGCCAGTGGTATAGCAGCATTTGTCATTAAATACAGTCCTTCGATATGAGCATGGCTGTGCTGAATGACAATGAAGAAGAAGGTAAGTGTCATGCAAGTGAGGAGGATGAAGTGGGCGGGGTTTAAACGGCGATACATAAAGCTTATCTATTTCCTATAGGTATGCAATGGATCCTCATATCAGCTGCAGTTTTAAATGTTGACATCAGGTGTTTTGATAGATTGGACATCTCATTACATTTCAGTCATTGTCATACTTTTTGAATGAAGAAAAAAAAAACCAAAAAAAACAAAACAAAACAAAAGCAAATCGAACACAGCAGTGGTATCAACCTGATCTTCCAGCCTTGTTCATCAAAGGAGAAAATAACTAAGAAGTCAGCCCTTAAAAGTCAAATCTATTTCTTTCTGTTCACAAGCTGGTCAACATAGAGAAAATATATTCAAAATGACTGACAAAGATTATCAGGTTATGCCATAGTACATGTACACAATGAGATCTGAGCTTTGTGCTTGATTCTGAGGCTTCTACACTTGTAAATGAGCTCTGCATGTGCGAGTGGAAACACAAACTGAAGGTTATATTAAACTGTATAGATGCATTGTGTGTGGTGTAATGGCAATGTGTTTACTGTATATAGAGATCTTCATAAGCCCTTTTACTTAATGAGGAGTGCAGAACAATGGGCATGCTACTGGTTTGGTAGAATTTGAGAACTAAGATGAAGTCAGCCCTGGTTGTTTTCTGTTATTTTTATGCAATCATATTCTCAAAATAGTCTTGAGTTAGTGTCATTATCTCAGCTTGGTAATTAGTAGCACAGCTTAATCAGTAATTAAAAACACTATTTGTGTCGCAGATGTTAACAATGGTCTACAAAAGCTACATAAATCCACTAATATTCTAGGAAATTTGAGACAGTGTCCAGATGTGCTACATGCATGCTACAGGTAGTTACAAAACTGTTAATTTGTTTGTTTTGGGTCGTAAAGAGACACACATTAGGGATTGTTATGTGATAATGATTTGTTGGAGGCTAAGGAGCTGAGGGGTGGGGCAGGCCTGGAAGATGGCCAACCACTACAGGCAGAATATTGGAGCAGTTATTTTAGAAAAATGGAGATGGACACAAAGCTGCGACCAGGTTTTAAAATGACAACGGTCTTGTTCAGTGTCTTCATGTGAGTGCGCAGTGAGAGCCCCTCAGGACCAAGCACAAAGAGTGAACATTAAAAAGAGAATATGATTGTGTTATTCCATAGTCAGCCAGTGCAACAGAAACGGATAATTGGAACACAGTGTAAAAAAGCGCAGTGAGAGAAATCCAGCCATGAGGAAACCGGCCTTCCCGATCGACAAAGGCTGTGGCGTTGTCCCCTTGTCTTCACGGGGACCGTTCTCATCCCTCATTGTGTCTGTTTGTTTACTTATTCCTTTTGATTGATTGGTGTGTCTTTCGTCTCGCTGCTCCCTGCATTTTCTCTTTGTCAGAAAATGTTGCAGAATGTCCATGGGAGCACAGCACGAGCCACCCGCACAACCGTGGCTGTATTTTTCCACAGCGGTTGCCATGGTGAGGGAATCCCCTCACCCGCCTCCTGGCAGCTCCATCACTCCTCATTGGCAGGGCTCTCCTCCAGAGGCGTGATGGTGGGGAGGCCCAGTCCTGTTGCATTGTGGGATGCAGTGAGGCTGGCAACAGTGTGTAGGAGGACGAGGACTAGCAGGCAGAGTTTGAGGCGGCTGTTACACAGTCTGCAGGCGGCCGCTGAGCTCAGGGAGGTTCGGTGTTGGCATGGCGGGTGAGTCCTTTTCAGGCTCCCCAGAGAGCGGTTGTCCACTCTCAAGTCCCACCGCACATCGCAGCAGTAAGAGCGCGGGTCCACACCTGATGGATAGTCCTCCAGTAGCCCTGGGGAGGAGTGTGGAGAGGGGAGGGGCACACAAATGGCACTGTCAGAATTATGTAATCATAGTGCTCAGCATGCAATAAGCAATACAAAATCCAGGAATGCACAACTAAAACTACACGCTATTACAGGGAAATCGTATTTGATTGCTCACATTTCTAACAACCATGGCTGCTTTTATGTGCCTTACACAGTGTTCTATTCTTTCCTTTAGTAAACTATTCACTAAGTTATGGATTTGTGTCACTGCATTAATCAGTCACCACTGCAGTTCAATGTCCACTGGGGCAGAAGAATGTACCTGGGTGAATGGTTAAAATATGTTGTAAAAAAAGAAGTGTAAAAATTGTGAACTGACTAAAAGAGCCATTGGCATATATGAATGTGCAATGGGGAATTTATAGCTGTTTGACAATTATTAATTACATGGGTGATGTATAAGCCATTTAAGGGGTATTGTAGTTTAATTTTATATTTTATTGTATTACTTAAAGACAAAACAAAACACAAGTCAATACTCATTGTGTCCACCAGAGAGCAGCCTTCCCTTAACAACAGAACATCAAAGACTTGCTCATAGGCTGAGGCTGCTTACTCACTCACACTAAGTATAATTATTATTGCATAACCTGCACATTATTTACCTGTACATTGCCATTATATATATTTTTTTCCACTGGAGATCTGAGTTATTCTGGCAGTGAGCAGATCTTTCAACAGTAAATTGCTGTATTTCCCCAGGTCGCCTGCTGAGGCATAACATCTTGTAACTATATAGTCACAGGTGTCCACTGTGTTAATGACTACTGGCCCACTAGGAGAGACACCGTGCTGCCCAATTACTCATAGTCAAAATTAACTGCAAATTGCAGAATCGCCAATAATTTAAGTAATACAATTTCCCTGCAATCTTGTCATAGTGCTAACACTATACTATACACCTCCACAAATATGTTCTGAGATGGGATTCTTGTATTACTTTAGAATGCATGCTTTCATATTTCAATGCTTTTTCATGTTAAGAATCCTAAGTTTGAGATATAAATCAAAAATGCTGCTGTTCAAAATCGTAGTGATGGTCAGAAGAATTATCTTGGATTTTGGAGGTTAGACATGTGGCCTTATTCTTCATTACCTGTGCATACAAAACTGGGGCTGCCTCCGTGGATGAGATCATCATTGTCAGGCAGGATGAAGGGGCACCTCTGCTGCACCTCAAAGCAGTACTGGTTACAGGGGATCCGATTGGTGCAGTGGTACTGGTTGGTCTGGAAGTACTGAGAGCACAGCCACGGCTTGTAGACCATCTGCAGTGAGGAGAGAGAGAGGGCAGGTATTGATGAGTTAAAAAGGGTCACACTGCCCAATACGCACACAGAACATTTTTGATCTCTAAAGATATTGATTAACTATGCGCTTATTCTCATTTGCATTGTTTGATTAATGTAAGGCTGACATCAATAATCATACATACATACAATCATTGGGTTAAAGAATGATTACAGCAGTATAGTCCTTGTTTATATAAAGGAAATTTTCCAAGTAAACAAATTCAATGTTATCAGATTAGCAATAAATAACTGGGTTAATTGATTTTTTTTTTATATAACTGAGTTTGATTTCCAAAACATAATTAAAATGTATTTTTGTTGTAAAGCCAACAACAACAAAAAATAATCTTTAGTAGCAGCATTAGTCAACACACTAACCTAAGGCATAACAGAATACAGTGATTCTTTAAAACAATACATCATTTGAAGAATATTTGATAAAATCCATCTTGTCTATATACACCAAATAAGAGCGACTGATAAGCAGAGAGGTTACGCATCAATGCCAAAGTACTGGATCTCTTACAATGGTATAATCTATAAATGGTATTGGGGTTTGAAAATAATTTTTACTATATGAAAATTCTTCACTAGAATTGCACATAATCCTACCAGACTTTAGAAGTTGTTTCAGGCTACAACAACAGACAGTAGTAAGCAGTAAACACACAAGTGAACATATCCTGATGCAAGTTGAGGATATGCATCATGTGAAGTGCTCTATGTGTAATTTGTGCATATGTTGTAAAAACTAATTTGATAATTACCTCACACCCATTTTCTCAACTCTCCAAGTGCACAAGTGAAGACATATGACTACTTAGCACCTTATTATTTCCTCCTCTTATTCGATAGGCTGGTCGTCTGGTTGTGTAGCATTGGCACCTGCAGCAATTAGCCTGTACTTCCTGCGTTTCACTCCAGGGACCGGCGAGCAAGTTAGCACCTGTTGCGAGCTAATCATCACGCCCTAAACACAGCACCCAAACTACAGATAACATCACACGGAGCTTATATGTGCAGACGTGTGGGGCCACTGCCAGGAAGTACACAGGCTGTAGTAAGATGCTGAGCGCTGTGCAAAACAGAACCTCAGTCTCGGTAAAAAGATTAAATTTTATTTCATTTTTTCTGATTCTAAAATGTGATGCTGTCATACTTCTACATGATCTTATTGATTACATGTGCTTTGACATGAAAACATCGGAAGGATAAATTCACAAATATGGAAGCTGATCATTTCTATTACTGACAAGAGCCAAAACTGTTCTAGCCAGGCTGGTGCCACCTAGTGCCACCATTCAATTTTATTTCTCTTCAGCGACAAGGTCAGAAATCGGAATACACTAGAAAGTCTGTAAAAACTCAAGTGCGAGTTCGGGCACCAGCCAATCAGTGAAGAGCCATACATTCTGCGTTGGCAACAATTCCCAAGATGGACAATTTAAAGTCGGAACAAAGAGAATGTTTGGTGAATTTTATCAAGGGGAAAGACCTTCTTCCTAAGGAATTTGGGAAAAGCTTAATATACCAGTTAGCCCCGTTAGTGGCACATTACATACTTCACGACCAAATAGCAATGATTGGTTAAATGAAAAAAAGTACCCGCCTACCATCAAGTGAATGAATTCTAACGCTGCGAGGTCAGACAGTTTTCACGAAAAGAAACCGGCTGATAAATCAGGCTAAGACTGTTCTGACAGAAAAAGAACAGAGGCAGAACAAAAATCTGCAGCTGAACAATATTCATTTTAGCTGCCCCCCATTTGTATTAAATAACACTGGTCTATACAATGCTGTGATGTCATCTGAAACCCAGCAATATTAGAGGATTGATGAGGCTTATATTGTAGCTGATGGTTTAATCACACTATTGACTCTATTTCCAACACTGTCTTAAGGCATTAGTGAGGCTTGAAAATAGGGGGAATGAACCATTAAAAAATGTATATATAGCTGTCATTTCGCAACAGAGACACTATACTAATATATCTGTGCTAATCCATCCTTATCTGTTACACAACTATGTGGGGAAAATTAAAAGACACATTTTCTGAGTGCTTAGAATGAGACCCTGACCCTGAAGCCTTTGTGAATGAAGCAAAGTACAACCCGAAGTATGCTCATGATGGTAGAAGAATCAACAAAAGCATATTGAAAAAAAATAAAAATAAACGATGTACTTTAATATGAATGTAAAATAGGCTCAAACTAATCTGATAGTACTCTTAGTGACCATAAATAAAAGCATAGGATCTCTCTACAATGAAGCGAGTTGCATCATGTTACTTTCATAATGCACTCAGTCCATATTGCAGTAATATGAAATGAACTGGCAGCAACAGCGTCATGTCAAACCCACTGAGGCCCAGTTTACACAGCTCACTGCACATGCACCACCAGGCACCAGCGCATGTCACACACCCCCTTATGGCCCGCCTATGCCCACTGTAAACCACTGTGTGCTAATAATCTGATTTCTCATGCTAGATATGGTCGCTTCCTGAGGACACCACGCACACACAATGACCTTCTGTCTAATCTCCCATCACAGTGTGAACGTCAGCGTTACAAATCTGGTCACATGATCTGGTCACATGATCTAACTGTAGGAGTCAGTCTGCCTACCAAAAGAACATTGGAGCTGTTTCAGAATTTGTCTGAACCTCCTATGTAAATCTAGGACATACCTGGGGACAGTTTTATGATAAACAGTAACCAATGTCTTAAATATTATTCCAACACAATCCAGAGTACACTTGTTTCTGTGCTGTTCAGCATTTAAAGGTGCAATGTGTAACATTTCTAGTAAAGGGTCTGCCATCTGATGTCTCCATAGAAATATTATTGTTCCACAGTGTAGATTAAACCTATTTACCACAGAAGGATTTATTGTATTTTTGAGCAATAGAAACACCCGTAATGAATCAAAGAATAAAGGCTAGACGGATATGTTTAGTGTCAAACCATGGAGCATCCCAGGCAAATCAATGGAGACAAGCCAGAGGCAAACCCTCCACAAAACAAACAATATTTTGTTAATAACATGGATTAAGTTAAAATATCAAAAATGCTATTATAGTGATTAATGACCCTAAAATCGTGATAAAACATCATCACCTAACAGTTCCATAGGATATAGTAGTGGTGAGCCTTTAGCTTGAGCAACAGATGCTCTTATGTTTCCTGAAAGCAAGCTGTCAACAGGCCAAGATAAGAATGAACAGTGTAATGCGTTAAATTTCCCATAGATAAGCAATGTATCGCATTTACATGATATCGACAGTGTCAGCTGCACCAGGTAAGACAAATGTATTGTGCGTGGTTATTTATTAGCTGTTTGACTCATTCAACACAATGCCAAAGTCAAGGTTATGCAGTAGGTGGGGTGTGAAGAAAACAATGAATGAATGAACGAGAATGCATTGGTCCATGCTGTACAGAATGCCAAGAAAAGTAACTCATTTTTGTTCATATTCAACTAGATCAATCTGGAACACCATGGTGGTTGCGCAAATAATTCAGAACAAACAAGCACCTAACTAGAGATATTTGGACTTTTTAGCAAATTGGCTATCAAAATCAGCCTCAGTCCATTTGATTATGTATTTATTATTTTATTTTATTATTATTTAATATTGGCTTTAATATTTTTGTAGAATTTATTATTGCCATTTATATGCTTGCTCTTTGTTATTATAATATTTAATACATTGTGATGTATGAGCTACTGTTTCCAAATAATTTCCCTTGAGGATCAATCAAGTTTTTCTGTCTAAACCTAGCCAATCTGCTGCCTAAAAATACCCACAAAGCTTTAGCTTAGCTTTAACACAAAGAAATAGCTGCACATAATGTGACTACACAGTTTAAAGGTTTATGGTGAGAAACAAAAAAACAAAAAAAAAAAAAAAAGGCTGTGGGTGAGTTTGTAGTGAATTTGAATTACATAATTTGTGAAAAATAATAAATAGCAGAGTTTACCAGGCATCGTTTGCTCTGTATTCTAAGCAATCGGCATCAGGATCACCATGGAAAAACCCATAACTGTCGATCTCTACTTCAATTTGTTGTTATAAATGGACTAGAACCAGGTACTCCCATGGGCCTGGTCCTCAGTATTTGTCAAGTCTTCTGCTGCAACCCTAAGAGAGATCTCTGCTCTTTCCATTACTCTGTGATCTTAACACACACAATCATCATCTTTCTGTCAAACCAGAGCACCCTTGCATTATTCCTTAACTTTGTTTGTTCTTGGGTAAAAGAAGAAAAAAATCTCTCCTTTCCTGACCGTTGCTTTAGAGGTCAGACATGTCTCTCCTCTGCTTCTCCCTTGCCCTTGTCTCAGCCTGAGTCGATGCCTTATCTTATTTACAGATTGTTTTTACATTGACCAAGCATACATTTGCCCCCTCCCTTCTATTATCCACGAGTTTGTTGCTTTCAGTTGAGACCCAGCTGTCCTCCTGAATTAGATTATCTCATTACAATTAGTCCAAAGCAGTTTTAATTGACACGGGCCCCACCCTGTGCTTCAGTATTGGTTTAAAGTGGCCCCAGATGGCCCTTGTATTGTCATTGCCTTGTCTTTAATGTTTTATCTGGACTTGTGTTCACAGGGAAAAGTGCTGAAAGAGATTGAGCGAGGCGCTATCCAGGCACTCTGCTCATTTGTCACAGCACGCTCCATAGTACAGCAAATGGGCACATAAACCCATGCACATGCTCATGAACAGCCCTGTCAGGAGCAGATACAGTTTCTACTGTTTGTTTCACCGAGTCAAGCTGAAAGTGTTGACAAGGGAAGCTAACAGGGCTATTGTGAAGGGTTAGCATACTGCAAAATATGAATGAAAAACTACAAATGTCACAGCAAAGCATAAAGTGGTGTCAGACTTCTTTTGGTTATGGGGTAAATTCTCAGCTCAGATCCACAAAACCTTTATAATATAATGCAAAGATTCTTTGTTCATTCC